CGCGGGCCGCCGCCCCCCGCCACCAACTAGTGTGCGCAGCGACTCCGGACGCGGACCGCAGAGAGCGGAGAGAAAAGGGAGCAGACTCCGGGAGGATCGCTGCGGACCCGCCGGCGCCATGAGCGCCCTCCCCCGTCCGCGGAGGTTCGGGGCGCCGCCGCCCTGGCTGCTCCTTTCCTTGTGCCTCCTCGCCGCGGCGCGCGTGAGCCTGGCAGACAGCAATCCCCAAGGTGGGCTGGGGGCCAGGGCCGGGAGGGGGAGGCGGAGGGCGCGCAGGAAGGGGCGCGCGAGGTGCGCGGCCCCACGGGTGGAGTGCGTCGTCGTGCGCCGGGCCAGGGGCGGTGGGGAGAAGCGCGAGGATGCTGCCGAAAGCGGGTGTGCGGCGGCGGCCTCCTATTGGCTAGCTTGGGTCGCCTAAGCTCAACTAGGGCACTGGGGCGGCTCGGGCTGCTCCGCTCCTTGGGGAATCTGGAACCAGCAAGCGCCCCGCGAGCAGGGGAGGCGGTCTGTGTCTGTTTTTTTTTTTTTTTTTTTTTTAGGAAGGTAGGGCGTGAGTGTGGGGGCAAGGACAAACCGGCGACTAGGTTTCTACGAATGTGGCATGATTTCTGAAAGCCACATTCTCCAAGGCCAACTCCCTTCACTTGAATTGATAGGAAGGTTCAAATATCACCTCCTTTCTTCTTGGCAAGTGGGTTGGCTTTGAGGATGTTTTTTTAGAGCTCAGTGGAAAAAGTAACATAACCAACCAACCAACCAAAGCTCCAGCAACTTAAGGATAACATTGTGCATCTTCTTTTTACGCCAAGGTCTTGGAAAACAACCCCCCCCTTCTTTTGGTTTTATGGTTATTTTAATGTTTGTTTAAGATACAAAGACGGAGTCATTTATGTGCAAAACATTTCCAAGCCAAATTTGTCATTTTAATCTTCACTTGGTCATAAATACTTTTTTTGTGTGTTGAAAGTATTCCTTTAACCTGTCTCTGCAAGTTCCTTGGGTACAAATCTCTAGGTGTTAAGCGTAACAGTACATGACCATCTCTCAAATTGGTAAATATTGACTGTCATTAACTACAGTGGAACATTGATCTACACAAGGTTTCAGTCTTTCATAGGAACTTATTTTCATGAGCTTTTAGCATGCAGTTTTTTTTTGTGACACATTATAAAAAAGAAAAGATAATTAAAGGGTAGGAATATTTAATATATATGTGTGTGTGTATATGTGTGTATATAGTTATATGTATATATAGTTATATGTATTCCTCATATATTTATATAGTTATATATTCACACATATATAACTATATATATAGTTAATACACACACAAATATATGTATACATATTTTTTAAGACTTTATTGTTAACGAGTTAGATAGAAGATTTTGGGTCACTTTGGTTTCTAAATTTTTGTCACCCAAATCTCTTTTTCATCATACCAATTATAAAGGATAACCCAGGACATTTTCCCCCTGGTCTGGGTATTCCTGATTCTTCTATCCCCAATTCACTTGTCATTTACCACAGAATATTGCAATTCTGAGGCCAGTGTATTCTGGGTGAGTCCTAGAACTTTGATTTTTCCATTGACCGTATGTCAGAATTAACGAAGAGCCTCAAAATGACTCATTCCTGGATCCTGATCTCAAAAGCACTAATTCATGGGACCAGCAGTTAGCCTAATGGCTATGTTGCTGAACTCCCATGTAGCCGATTGCAGTTCGAGTCCTGGACTCTATGGCTTTAACTCATGCCTGGCGGGTGTGCGTGCATGTCCAAGATCCTGAGAGGAGAATGGAGGAGAAAGGATTGCGGTGTGGCCATACCCCCTGGGGGGTGATTTCTCACTTTCTGTCTCTCTGTCTGTCTCTGTCTGTCTGGTGAGCGCTCTCACCCTATAGCAAAAACCTTTCCTACCAAAAAAAAAAAAGCACCAATTCGTTTGGCTTGGGATTCAGTGCAGACATGCGGACAATAGGAGTTCTAAAAATTTCCCATGTGATTCTAATCATGTGATTTTAAGCAGGTTGAAAACCACTGCTTTAAAATATGACTCGCAGAGTTCATTAGATACTAGTCTGTTGACATCAGGTTTAAATTGATATCCAAAGCAGAATTCTAAATATAAAAAAGGGTAGAAAATAAATGATAATGCAATAAATGAAGGCATAAATAAATGGAATGGAGAAATGTCTGTGTAGGTGTATGGTGTACCTTCTGTATTATTTTAGCTCCACTTAAGCTAAAATGATGGAATAATGTGACACACACTAGCACACAAAGTTAGTATCTAATTTAAAATTTAACTTGTTTCCTACGTTCTTTATTGATCTCTATGAGATTCAGGTACCTCTTTTTTAAGGGATATTATGAAGTTTACTGGCCTTTTTTTTTTTTTTTTTTTTTTGAGAGGTTTTTGCTAAAGGGCGTGTGCGCTCACCAGAAAGAGAGAGACAGACAGAAAGCAAGAAATTACACCGCAGGAGGGGATGGCCATGCCACAGTCCCTTCTTGGGCATGCTCGCACATGCACCTGGCGTGAGTTTAAGCCACTGGGTCTGGGACTCGGAACTGCAGTAGACTACATGGGAGTCCACAATATAGCCATTACGCCAACTGCTGGTCCTTACTGACTGTTTTTTATCTGCTGGGTCATTGGAAAAGTCAAGATGCATTTTTTTGCATCGAAAAACAGAAATATACATCATGATTTTTCAGGTGACCCAATAGATGTTTTGAATTCTTTGGAGATAGGTATGTTTGGGGACAAAAGTTAATAATAAAAAATGGTTACAATTTATTATAATTTCATGTAACAATTGGAAGTCCCACATTATACTATGCAGTTTATAATACCTAGGTTAGCTTTTATATCCCTGGCATTTATATAAGGAAATTGAAGTTTGGGTAAATAGTTGCCCAAGTACACACAATTAGTTAAGCAGTGGAGCAGGTAATTTAGCCTTGGTCAGTCTGACTCCAGAGCCTGTGTTAGATACAATACTCCCTTGTCTTTGAGGTAATATGATATGCCATGAAAATGTGGACTCACTCACAGAGTGCACAGTGTGGATGTTTGCTTTGAGCTGAAGCACATGCTGACAGTTCAAGTCCTCAAAGTTGGGTACAGGGACTCACCTTGATTCTTAGGCTTTCAATTCAGTAAGAAACAGTATCTTTCTAAGGAGAAATACTACGTAAATGGGAAAATTTAAACATCATCATCATCATTATTATTAGATGGAACCGATTGGGGGAATGGGTCATGTTTATCTTTTGAAACCTGTGTGTGGTGGAATAACTTGAAATTATCCTTTTGCCTTCCAGGGGACACGGCTTATGTGCTTCCTTGATCAACTTCCTTTCCTACTCGACAGGCCTCTCCCGTAACTACCTATTAGTAAATATTTGTTGGAACAAGTATTATTTGAGCACTCACAGACACCTGATACTGTGTTAGCCTATATTTAAGTAGAAAATGCTAACAGTCATTACCTTAAGGGCATTTAAAGTGTTCAGACCTAACTTATTTTTAATCTCAGAGCATACACACACAAATGTTAGAGAGAAAGAGAAAGAGAGAAAGGCCCCCTCGCCAAATAGGGCCTGGTAACATATCAAACCTTTTCCTTCCAGATGTTCATCCTGCCAGGATTCTTGACATGCATGTCCTGATGTTTTTCTAGCCACATGTCCTGATGTTCTTCTAGCCACTGAGGCTGGGAC